AAAATGACAAATTTTATTACAAATATGAGAGTTCATGGAAAGAATTATCTTTTACCATTTCAAAAAGGTAAAAATATTATTTTTAAATGTATATAATTTTTTTAATTGAACCTTTTATGCTTCTAGGTATAGCTATCTCAAATACATCACTCATTAATTTGTTCAACGATTTAAATGCACGAGGGCTGTCTTTTATTTTAACAAGGAAATTAAACCAGGATGTTGTTGAGAACCTCTTTAGCTTTTTAAAGGGTATGGCCGGTTCTGCATGTAACAGTATAACTGTCCTTGATTTTAAATATTGGTAAATATTTCTAATTATTCGTTTTACTAATATACAAACTTGTGCATGTTTATAAATATATTATGTTCTTTATAGCCTACGTTGGTATATTTTGGGGAAGAATTCCAACTTTGTTTTTACTGAAAACCACAATTCGGAAAATGATTTAGAAGAAAGTCTTTTAAATAATTCTGAGTGTTTAACTAKTGAAGTTATTCAAGATTCTGAATTGTTACCTGACTTGTTTTCTTTAGACACTCATGATAATGAGTTGGCTGAAATTGAGTTGACATTTGGCACAGCAATGGCAAATATTCCATAGRACAATTTGGCACATTTAGAAGAATTTGAAACAGCAAATGAGCCATTTGACGATTTAGAAATACAATATGTAGAGTACATAACTGGGTACCTGATAAATCGATTTGGACATAAATATCCTTGTTTACTAGATTCAGACATATCAGACGAAAATAATGAATCCAAGTCAAATTGGATAGGTCATATTTCCAAAGGCAACCTGAAACATCATTCAGAAAAATTAGTAAGACTTACTAAAATAATGGAACCTTATTTCAAAGAATTACATGGTGAAGGAATTTCAAAAGCACCTGGAATTATGATAACATTGACAAAGACATTATTAAATATTTCTTAAACTCTTGGAATCCCACAAGAAGTTTTTGGTTCGAACAAGAACATTTATACGGTTTAATATTTAATAGCCTAAATAAAGAAATATACAAAACACAAAATCAACGTAATAAACAAAAATTAAAAAAGTTTAGTAACTAACCTAGTATGAGTACCTACTTGGCTACTTAACTGTGTATCAATGTTTATAGATAACTTGAAATAATAAACAGTAAACTTATTTATGATTTATAAACTATGAACTTACCTATCTAGCATTTTTCCAATCTCCCTCCACTCATCGCTGTTATTGGACAGTCTCTTCGGTTCCTTTTCCTTATAGCTTCTCATTCCGGCATTTTTAATAACTTTGTTAAATCAACGCAAAAACAAACTCCATTTTCTTAATATTTCTCAACAGTTAATATTGTTAACTGTAGTTATAAATGTTACTATTATAAGTTTTAATACGGAAATATAAAATTGGATACTAAATATAAAAATATTTAATAAAAGTTATTAATTAACGATAACATTTATTGATGATAAGTGATAACGTCACACGAATGCGTATCACTTAAATGTCATCATACCATAGAGTAATATATTACTCTATGCATCATACCATGTTCTTTTATCATGGTCCTATCCATATCTTTATTATCTATGTCCGCGAACGATACATATCGGCGAACAGCTGATGCTCATCCGTGATAATAATATAATAATATTTGGTCGGTGAATGTGTGGTAGGAAAAAGGTGGAAATACGACCGCGAACGGCCCGCGGAGATTCCCCGACGTGCTGCACGGTTGTTCTGTTATGAGTGGCGACCACAGTCGCCGGTCGATCAGTGTCCGTGTGTTGGGCTGACCAACAAGTCGTTGCAGTTCGGTCGCCGATGTAGTTGAACACGTCCAGTACAGTGCTATGGCTTCGCGTATAACGTCCGGTGCTCGGTTGTGCGTTCGCGCCAGTATCGACAGACTCGTGTGCAATTTGTCCAGAAGCCGTCATCACAATGCGGTGGATACGGCCGCAGTCCGGCGGGATTCGGACAGGAAGTTGCAATGTTACCAGGTCAGTACCTCTACTGGGCTCATCGTCATAAGGGCGGGCTCGGTAAATAGTTTTCCAAAAATGAAGTTCAGTGTTGTTATTATTTTTTCTCAATCAAGGTCCTTTCAATGACTTTTACGAGACTGGGTTTTTTTTTTTTTTTGGCAATGTGACAATGTGACAATATGTCTTATTGGAGCGTATGTCAATATACTTATACATGTACAATAATATATACGCAACTTAACAACCATTTCTACTCTTAGCCTTTGTAAGCTTTTAAACTCACAACTAGGCAGCGATCAATAGTTCTTATTCGTACTCATGAATCATGATTCTAAACGTATATTTTCAACTTAATAAAAAATTTCTGGGATTCGGGATAAAATATATTGATTTTAAATTTAGAATAAAAATTGAAATTGAATTTTATCGTGAACATAGTAATCAATTTAGTCACACAACTTACTGCATGCAACAAAATCTCAAATATATTTAAATATTATAGAATGTCTTTACCAACGTTTAGTACCTACTTTATACTTATTAAGTATATTMATTTTCGATACTAACGACATTTTAAAATGCAATAGTTTTTATCTTTTATGTATAATGATATTTATATGAGGGTGTGAAGATTGAACAGGAAGAAACAAAATAATAATCATTTTTTCTTTTATGAAAAGACTAACCTAACCTAACCTAACTTAACCTCTGTTACCTATTATATTGGTATAAACTATAAATTCTTCTTTTAATTAAAATCGAGTTAAAATAGTGTTAAATTAGAAATTGCCTATGTTTGTTTTTTATAACAACTAAATATAATACATTTTCATAATTTGTTGATATCTATTATCTATATTAAATTAACAATCAATATTTTTTTTTATCGGATAATTAAATCATTAAAGCGTTATCTAAAA